ATCCTGCAAGTCATTTGAAAATGCTCTCTCTCCAAATTAATTATACAGGATCATAAACAAACTTTCGAAAGTACAGAAGAGAGAAGAGGGAAAAAAAAGACTTTATAATTTCCAAACTCCTAAATGGGCTGATCATTTTTGGGCATTACTCCAGGTAATATGACTGACATAAAAAAAAAATCACACCAAATAATTCAGAAGTAACAAGAGCAAAACACAAAACTCTTAGTATAGAGAACCGTCTAAAAATAGGAGACTAGAAATACATGACCATGCGCTTTGATCCAGTAATACCTCTTTTAGAAAATTATTCTAAAGATATAATTAAGGATGTGTTGAAAAACTTTGCTGAAAAGTATTGAGCTCAACGTCACAGATTTTTTAACACAGAAAAAAATGTAAACAGCTCAATGTCCACACTCTGTGCTATTCATACAGTTGAATACGATGCAGCCTCTTGAAATAATATGGAGAATTTTGATATTTCTTAACAGTGAAAAGACTTTCATGGTGTCAGTGGTGAGTCAAAACAAGTTGCGAAAGATATGGAAAGCAAGATGCTTATTTCTATACACAGGTGCCATGTACTTTGTAATAAAACGGGTAAAATAAAAACATATGATTACATTACCATTTCTTGATTTTAGATCTCTGTGAATCACCTTGACAGGAGCCTCCATATGTAAATAATGCATTCCTTTTTATACAAGAAGAAAGAAAGGCCTATTAATATCATTTTCCAACATTGTATCAGTATTACCTTTCTGTTTTAAACATAAGTATTATCTTTCATAAATTTGCAAAAACTAAATTCATGTGCTCTGTTTTAGCATGATTGGTAAAACAGAAACAAGATATGTCTACGTCTACCTTAGGAAAATTTATACGCTAAAGAAATTATATGCTTTAATCTCTTAGAAGTTGGAATGTGATTGTGGGTAAAGCTAGCTTCTTACAATACCTAATAAGGACACCTTAATTTTCTGGAATCTGCACGAAAATAGCAGTTACAATGGTAAGGCGTGCTCCAGTGACGGGGGTATTCCACTACCAACTGACTACTAAATCAGTAAATTCTGACCGAGGTTTTCAGTTCTCATTCGGATGTCTGCAGCTTGGTTTATTTTCTCAGTGCTCAATCCAATAAGACCCTGGGGGTGGTGATGAAGTGTGGGGGGGGGGGACACTGGTTGGACTCATTAGTTGTGGCTGGTAAAGGATTTTATGATCCTCAGATACAAAAATATATAGTAGTTACAAAATA